ATGGATTTATTATCCCGGAGATCAGACTGAAGGCGTGTCGGACATTTACACAAATAAATTATTTCTTTAACACAATCTGGAAGCTCCTTAAATACTCTCCTCCTAAAATCAGTGGTATCTACGGGGGCATGTGGTGGGGCATCTAGGGGAGCATGGTGATGGGGGCATGTGAGAGGGCATGTGGTGGGTGATCTAAGGGGGCATGTGAGAGGGCCTGGTGATGGGTGATCTACGGGGGCATGGTGATGAGGCATGTGATGGGTGATCTAAGGGGGCATGTGAGAGGGCCTGGTGATGGGACATCTAAGGGGGCATGGTGAGAGGGCATGTGATGGGTGATCTAAGGGGGCATGTAAGAGGGCATGGTGATGGGTGATCTACGGGGGCATGGTGATGAGGCATGTGAGAGGGCATGTGGTGGGTGATCTAAGGGAGCATGGTGATGGGGCATCTAAGGGGACATGGTGATGGGGCATCTAAGGGAGCATGGTGATGGGGCATCTAAGGGAGCATGGTGATGGGGCATCTAAGGGGACATGGTGATAGGGCATCTAAGAGGACATGGTGATGGGACATCTAAGGGGACATGGTGATGGGACATCTAAGGGGACATGGTGATGGGACATCTAAGGGGGCATGGTGATGGGACATCTAAGGGGGCATGGTGATGGGACATCTAAGGGGGCATGGTGATGGGACATCTAAGGGGCATGGTGATGGGACATCTAAGGGGCATGGTGATGGGACATCTAAGGGGGCATGGTGATGGGACATCTAAGGGGGCATGGTGATGGGACATCTAAGGGGGCATGGTGATGGGACATCTAAGGGGGCATGGTGATGGGACATCTAAGGGGGCATGGTGAAGGGACATCTAAGGGGGCATGGTGAAGGGACATCTAAGGGGGCATGGTGAAGGGACATCTAAGGGGGCATGGTGAAGGGACATCTAAGGGGGCATGGTGAAGGGACATCTAAGGGGGCATGGTGAAGGGACATCTAAGGGGGCATGGTGAAGGGACATCTAAGGGGGCATGGTGATGGGGTATCTAAGGGGGCATGGTGATGGGGCATCTAAGGGAGCATGGTGATGGGGCATCTAAGGGAGCATGGTGATGGGGCATCTAAGGGAGCATGGTGATGGGGCATCTAAGGGAGCATGGTGATGGGGCATCTAAGGGAGCATGGTGATGGGGCATCTAAGGGAGCATGGTGATGGGGCATCTAAGGGAGCATGGTGATGGGGCATCTAAGGGAGCATGGTGATGGGGCATCTAAGGGAGCATGGTGATGGGGCATCTAAGGGAGCATGGTGATGGGGCATCTAAGGGAGCATGGTGATGGGGCATCTAAGGGAGCATGGTGATGGGGCAGCTACGGGGATGTGGAGATGGGGCAGCTACGGGGATGTGGAGATGGGGCATCTAAGGGAGCATGGTGATGGGGCATCTAAGGGGATGATGTGGCGATGGGGCATCTAAGGGGATGTGGCGATGGGGCATCTAAGAGGATGTGGCGATGGGGCATCTAAGGGGATGTGGCGATGGGGCATCTAAGGGGATGTGGCGATGGGGCATCTAAGGGGATGTGGCGATTGGGGCATCTAAGGGGATGTGGCGATTGGGGCATCTAAGGGGATGTGGCGATTGGGGCATCTAAGGGGATGTGGCGATTGGGGCATCTAAGGGGATGTGGAGATGGGGCATCTAAGGGGATGTGGCGATTGGGGCATCTAAGGGGATGTGGAGATGGGGCATCTAAGGGGATGTGTTGATGGGGCATCTAAGGGGATGTGGCGATGGGGCATCTAAGGGGATGTGGGTGATGGGGGATCTGGGGATGTGGTGATGGGGCATCTAAAGGGATGTGGTGATGGGGGATGTGGTGATGGGGGGTTTGGGGATGTGGTGATGAGGGATCTGGGGATGTGGTGATGGGGGGTTTGGGGATGTGGTGATGAGGGATCTGGGGATGTGGTGATGGGGGTTTGGGGATGTGGTGATGGGGGGATTTGGGGGATGTGGTGATGGGGGGTTTGGGGATGTGGTGATGGGGGGTGTTGGGGATGTGGTGATGGGGGGATTTTGGGGATGTGGTGATGGGGGTTTGGGGATGTGGTGATGGGGGGATTTTGGGGATGTGGTGATGGGGGTTTGGGGATGTGGTGATGGGGGGTTATGTTGGGGATGTTGTGATGGGGGTTTGGGGATGTGGTGATGGGGGGTTTTGGGGATGTGGTGATGGGGGTTTGGGGATGTGGTGATGGGGGTTTTGGGGATGTGGTGATGGGGGATGTGGTGATGGGGGGTTTGGGGATGTGGTGGTGGGGGGGGTTTGGGGATGTGGTTGATGGGGGGGGTTTGGGGATGTGGTGATGGGGGATCTGGGGATGTGGTGGTGGGGGGTTTGGGGATGTGGTGATGGGGGGTTTGGGGATGTGGTGATGGGGGTTTGGGGATGTGGTGATGGGGATCTAGGGATGTACAGTGTGGTGTTGGGGGGGCAGTGGTGCTATTAGTTGTATTGGGGTTGCCCTCGGTTGTATGAACACACAGCTTGCCTGGTCCATACACCCCTTTAATATACAGACAAGTCTCAGATCCGACAACAATACGTCTTTTGTCCTCCTTTGTACAAGGAAAGTCCGGCGATCCTGTAATCCATATAATCTGAAGACGTATTCTGATAGAATGTATCTTTTCAGCTCATCTTCGCAACAGAAAAGTGTGCAATGAAGAACAAGTTGTGGAATCTTACGGATGAGGACATCACTGACCGCGTAGCATTGCAAATCTGCTCCTCTACAAACAAGTACGTGGGAAGGATTCTTCTTTAAATTTGCTGAGTCTTGATGACGTCTGTATGAGGGGATCCCCTTTAACATCGAGGACAGGGCAGCACAGTGGCAGAGTGGTTAGCACTTCCGACTTGTGGCAGAATCTCGTATATCCAATCCTTCTACTAGATTGGATCTATAATGGATATCCAGCTTTAATTGCTTTTTTGGATTCGGTTACCATGTAATATATTAGATGTTTGTTCTTTAGCCCCGATGAAGGGGGAGTGTTGAGCCCCTGAAAAGAGATTTACATTTTGGTGTGGTGCTTCTCTCAGTTACCAGCCGAGGAGACGGCTGAAGTCCTTTGGTGTGGAGAAGCTGCCAGCCATAGGAATCCATACATCCTGGTCATATACCCCATATACTCCATATACCCAGAGGTCTGCGTGGAAGCAGCGGTCTCCCTGCAGGGGTCTGCGTGGAAGCAGCGGTCTCCCTGCAGGGGTCTGCGTGGGTGCAGCGGCCTCCCTGCAGGGGTCTGCGTGGGTGCAGCGGCCTCCCTGCAGGGGTCTGCGTGGGTGCATCGGCCTCCCTGCAGGGGTCTGCGTGGGTGCAGCGGCCTCCCTGCAGGGGTCTGCGTGGAAGCAGCGGCCTCCCTGCAGGGGTCTGCGTGGGTGCAGCGGCCTCCCTGCAGGGGTCTGCGTGGGTGCAGCGGCCTCCCTGCAGGGGTCTGCGTGGGTGCAGCGGCCTCCCTGCAGGGGTCTGCGTGGGTGCAGCGGCCTCCCTGCAGGGGTCTGCGTGGGTGCAGCGGCCTCCCTGCAGGGGTCTGCGTGGGTGCAGCGGCCTCCCTGCAGGGGTCTGCGTGGGTGCAGCGGCCTCCCTGCAGGGGTCTGCGTGGGTGCAGCGGCCTCCCTGCAGGGGTCTGCGTGGGTGCAGCGGCCTCCCTGCAGGGGTCTGCGTGGGTGCAGCGGCCTCCCTGCAGGGGTCTGCGTGGGTGCAGCGGCCTCCCTGCAGGGGTCTGCGTGGGTGCAGCGGCCTCCCTGCAGGGGTCTGCGTGGGTGCAGCGGCCTCCCTGCAGGGGTCTGCGTGGGTGCAGCGGCCTCCCTGCAGGGGTCTGCGTGGAAGCAGCGGCCTGCGTGGAAGCAGCGGCCTGCGTGGAAGCAGGGGTCTCCCTGCAGGGGTCTGCGTTGAAGCAGGGGTCTCCCTGCAGGGGTCTGCGTGGAAGCAGGGGTCTCCCTGCAGGGGTCTGCGTGGAAGCAGGGGTCTCCCTGCAGGGGTCTGCGTGGAAGCAGGGGTCTCCCTGCAGGGGTCTGCGTGGAAGCAGGGGTCTCCCTGCAGGGGTCTGCGTGGAAGCAGGGGTCTCCCTGCAGGGGTCTGCGTGGAAGCAGGGGCCTCCCTGCAGGGGTCTGCGTGGAAGCAGGGGCCTCCCTGCAGGGGTCTGCGTGGAAGCAGCGGCCTCCCTGCAGGGGTCTGCGTGGAAGCAGCGGCCTCCCTGCAGGGGCCGGCGTGGAAGCAGCGGCCTCCCTGCAGGGGCCGGCGTGGAAGCAGCGGCCTCCCTGCAGGGGCCGGCGTGGAAGCAGCGGCCTCCCTGCAGGGTCGGACGTGGAAGCAGCGGCCTCCCTGCAGGGTCGGCGTGGAAGCAGCGGCCTCCCTGCAGGGGTCGGCGTGGAAGCAGCGGCCTCCCTGCAGGGGTCGGCGTGGAAGCAGCGGCCTCCCTGCAGGGGTCGGCGTGGAAGCAGCGGCCTCCCTGCAGGGGTCGGCGTGGAAGCAGCGGCCTCCCTGCAGGGGTCGGCGTGGAAGCAGCGGCCTCCCTGCAGGGGTCGGCGTGGAAGCAGCGGTCCCCCTGCAGAGATATGAGCGTTACTGATTGGAGAGCTGTATATCTGACTCAGCAGAGGGCTACGTTGTACTTCTGCAGAGAGACCGCTGCTTCCATACACACAAAAACTGCTTTGAGCCGAGTTGCAGACGTGTAAAACAACATCAATGCTGCGGTATTGCGACTAAACAATAATATTTCTTTTTTCTCCCAGGATTGTGTGCCGGACGTTCGATGTGAAGGACCCCAAGGTATCCGCCATGTTTGCCGTTTCCATAGATGGTGGAATTATTGGTTAGAGAGGAGCTCCATGTGTGTCCAGATCCGGCGTTGTGATGTCCGGCTTGTACAGCTGACCTCGGCAGCCACGCTAACCACAGACTGGGTGACACCGTCAGATCATGAGAATCCCCGCCTTCCGGGGTCACCTTGCCAGCTTGTTCGCTCTGCTGGGGGTTGTAGTCCTCCTGCCGGCGTACCCTGTAGGCAGAAGCCGGTGTTGTGGGGCACAGAGCCAATCCAGTGGCAGCATTCCTGGACTCCATATTTCCAGGACGTCTCATTGGCTGCCTGTGTATCTGTATATGAGGAGCGTCGGTTACAGATCGTCCTCCATCGATCGTTACATTGTATATTAGAGACAACATCATATATATCGATGTATCCAAACCACGCAAGAGAGAGGCTCCATTCACACTCGTGCGATTTTTCACTGCGACATTACAGTGCCACTTTGGCTTTGACCGAGGATAACTGTCTCTGCTGTACAAAGTCGCATGTACAACATTGAGGTGCGACTTTCATGGGACTTTGGGGGGTTTACATTGAAGTCTATGGCCCAAAGTAGTGCAGGGACTACTTTTTAAGTAGAACAGATATGAATGGTACCCATTGGGAAACGGGGGGGGGGGGGGGACTTGTCATGTGGATGTCGGTATCGATCACTCATTGTGTTCATTCAGGAAATGAAAGGGCTGGTAAATGTGACATATTTACTGGACCCCTCCCCCACTCTCCATCCTGAAGGAACCTGTTCTGTGCTTGCAGAGCTGCTGGTGGGAAAGAGAGGGGGGAAGCACTGTGGGGGGGCAAATGGGGGGGGGGGGCAACAGGGGGAAATGTATGGGTGCGCAGGGAGGGAGGGCGGTAGGTTTTCAGCCCAGAAACCTCTGACGCCCATCGTTGCAAATGTGCAGTGTGCGAGCGTAAAGGCCCGCCTTCTTTTTCCGCCGCAGGTATGTGTTTCATTGGCAGAGAGAGGCTAAACTTCAGCTTTAACCGCAGAAAAGAAAAATCCGATCCTCTGCCCTGCCAGATAGGGCGGTACGTGGCGGAGTTGTGTGAATCTCAGGTGTGGATGGACAGCTCCTGTACCTGTATATTCATCTTGCTGTTTGCCTGGAGCTCGGCTTCAAGAGGGTTCTTTCATTTGGTTTTTGTTTTTTAATTTCTTTTCTTCTTTTTTTTATTTTTTTATTTTTTTATTTTTATTTTTTAGAGTACAGCTAAGCCAGCGGACTGGAAATATCAGAGCGTGCCTCCATCTTGGCTCACCGTAGAATGTAACATGGAAGTAGATCTCACAGTGTCATTGCCTTCATCCGCAACGTACCAAGAGCAGCAGAAATGTATCCGGGTGAGTGCTCGCCGTACGGGCCGCGCTGTCGCAGCTGTGCGTTCTCCACCGTTCCCTCCATGAAAGGGAACGTATTGCAAAATATGATGATACAGGATTTATGGCGCCAACAGTTTGTGTAGCGCTGTACAATATAAAGGGCGACAATTACAATACCGTTTCAGTCAGTACAGAAGGAATAGGAGGGCCCGGTTCATGGAGCTTACAATCTAAAGGGAGGGGCTACAAAAAGTGATGGCTGCACCGTGGGGGGGATGAGCTGATGGAGGTGGCTCAAGTACAGTTCTTAGGTGGAGGTGGGGTAAGCTTCCAGTGAGTCCTTCCATTGTTCCTCCTTTTGTCCTTCCATCCTTCCTCCTTTGTTCCTCCATTGTCCTTTCACTACTTCTCCATTGTTCCTCCATTGTGTTTTCCATTGCCCTTCTATTGTTCCTCCATTGTTCCTGCACTGTCCTCCCATTGTTCCTCCCATTGTTCCTCCCATTGTTCCTCCCATTGTTCCTCCATTGTCCTTTCATTGTCCTTTCATTGTCCTTTCATTGTCCTTTCATTGTCCTTTCATTGTCCTTTCATTGTCCTTCCATTGTTCCTTCATTGTGCTTCCATTGTTCCTCCATTGTCCTTCCATTGTTCCTCCCATTGTTCCTCCCATTGTTCCTTCCATTGTCCTTCCATTGTCCTTCCATTGTTCCTCCCATTGTTCCTCCATTGTCCTTCCATTGTCCTTCCATTGTTCCTCCATTATCATGCCATTATCCTTCCATTGTCCTTTCCTTGTCCTTTCCTTGTCCTTTCATTGTCCTTCCATTGTTCCTCCATTGTCCTTCCATTGTTCCTCCATTATGCTTCCAGTGTTCCATTTGTTACTACTGATGGGTCGGTTCCAATCAATGAAGGAATCTCTTTGGTTAGGATGTTCTCTGTATAATTGCAGACTAGCCTGGCTCGGTGGGCGAAGGACATAGAAGATTGTACAATACTCCTCAATGGACAGCTGAGAGACAAAGATGGCGACCTGGTGGAGGAACAGGTAAGGGTTTGGTGTGATTTGGTGCGAGATAATATATTCAGAGTAACCGGGAACACGTGATACAGGGCAGGTACCGACCCTATGATAGGTCAGTGTATGGGACGCAGGAAGGGTATAGTCACCAAAGACCCAATGGAGTGCAGCAGCTGAATACAGCGGAGCCCGCCCCAAACTCAGATCCCCCCTCCCCCTTCCCTCTGCATCTCTGCTAACAACCAGCCAGTGGTAGGACCAATGTATCTCCTGCCCCCCCCCAAAAAAAGTGGTAGGACCAATGTTTTTCCTGCCCCCCCAAAAAAACAGTGGTAGGACCAATGCATCTCCTGCCCCACAAAGAAAACAGTGGTAGGACCAATGTATCTCCTGCCCCCCCCCCCCCCCCCCCAAAAAAAGTCATAGGACCAATGTATCTCCAGCCCCCAATAAAACAGTGGTAGAACCAATGTATCTCCTGCCCCCCCTCAAAAAAAAAACAGTGGTAGGACCAATGTATCTCCTGCCCCCCCCCCCCCCCCCAAAAAAAAAAAACAGTGGTAGGACCAATGTATCCTCCTGCCCCCCCCCCCAAAAAAAAAGTCGTAGGACCAATGTATTTCCTGCCCCCCCCCCCAAAAAAAAAAGTGGTTGGACCGATATCACTCCCATTTTCCCCCCCCCCCCCAAAAAAAAAAAAAACCAGCAAGTGATAGGACTAATGTATCACCCCCTAAAAACAGAAGGTGGTAGGAATGATATGTCGCCCCCACCACCCCCAAAACCCATTCCAGACTATTAGTCCTGATTCACACCCATGCGTTTTTTTTAGTGTTTTTGTAGAAACGCACTGCAGCCCATTTCCAATGGTTTCCTATGGGACACGTTCACATCTGTGCGTTGCAGCAGCTGCTGCGTTTTTGGAAAGGATCAGGGACTGGTCCAAGGACGGCAATGTTGCGATTCTGATGCGTTTTGCAGTTTTCTCGGGGTTTAATATTTTATATATATATATATACAGCATATGTTTAAAAAAAAATATATATATATATATATATATATATATATATATATATATATATATATATATTTTTTTTTTTTTCTTTTTTTTCTTAACATAAATATACATTTAGAAAAAAACAAATATATATATAAAAAAAAAATTTCTTTTCCTAAATGTATATTTATGTAACAAACAATTTAGATATATTTATGTGTGTGTATATATATATATTGTGTGTGTGTGTGTGTATATATGTATGTGTGTGTGTGTGTGTGTGTTTATATGTATATGTATGTGTGTGTGTGTGTGTATATATGTATATATGTGTGTGTGTGTGTATATTTGTATATTTTTGTGTGTGTGTGTGTATATATGTATATTTGTGTGTGTGTGTATATATATATATACAGTCATGGCCGAAATTGTTGGCACCCTTGATATTTTTTTGAAAATCAAGTATTTCACACAAAAAAGGTATTGCATTGTTTAACACATGTTTTTGCTATACACATGTTTATTCCCTTTGTATGTATTGGAACAAATATAAAACAGAGGCAGAAAAGCAAATATGACATAATGTCACACACAAAACCCCAAAAATGGGCTGGACAAAAGTATTGGCACCCTTAACTTAAATATTTGGTTGCACACCCTTTGGAAAAAACATAACTGAAATCAGTCGCTTTGGGGGTATAACCATCAATAAGCTTCTGACACCTCTCACCCGGAATTTTGGACCACTCTTCCTTTGCAAACAGCTCCAGGTCTCTCTTATTGGAAGGACACCTTTTTTTTTGGCAATTTTAAGATCTCTCCACAGGTGTTCAATGGGATTTAGATCTGGGCTCATTGCTGGCCACTTCAGAACTCTCCAGCGCTTCTTTGCCATCCATTTCTGAGTGCTTTTTTTGACGTATGTTTGGGGTCATTGTCCTGCTGGAAGACCCAGGATCTTTTGGACGCAAAACCCAGCTTTCTGACACTGGGCCCTACAGTGCGACCCAAAATCCTTTGGTAATCCTCAGATTTCATGATGCCTTGCACACAGTCAAGGCACCCAGTGCCAGAGGCAGCAAAAACAACCCCAAAACATCATTGAACCTCCACCATATTTTACCGTAGGTACTGTGTTTTGTTCTTTGTAGGCCTCATTCCGTTTTCGGTAAACAGTAGAATGATGTGCTTTACCGAAAAGCTCTATCTTGGTCTCATCTGTCCACAAGACGTTTTCCCAGAAGGCTTTTGGGCTTACTCAAGTACATTTTGGCAAACTGTAGTCTTGCTTTTTTATGTCTCTGTGTCAGCAGTGGGGTCCTCCTGGGTCTCCTGCCATAGCGTTTCATTTCATTTAAATGTCGACGGATAGTTCGCGCTGACACTGATGCTCCCTGAGCCTGCAGGACAGCTTGAATGTCTTTGGAACATGTTTGGGGCTGCTTATCCACCATCCGGACTATTTTCTGCGTTGCAATCTTTCATCAATTTTCCTCATCCGTCCACGACCAGGGAGATTAGCTACAGTGCCATGGGTTGCAAACTTCTTGATAATGTTGCGCACTGTGGACAAAGGCAAATCTAGTTCTCTGGAGATGGACTTGTAACCTTGAGATTGTTGATATTTTGCCACAATTTTGGTTCTTTTTAGGTCCTCAGACAGTTCTCGTCTCCTCTTTCTGTTGTCCATGCTTAGTGTGGCACAGACAGACACACAATGCAAAGGTTAAGTGAACGTCTCTCCTTTTTATTCTGCTTTCAGGTGT